TAGCTGGAATTAGTACAAGGAGCCTTACAAATACTTTTAAGTGGCAAGCATAAGGCTGTGCGGTGGTGTGGGCTGAATGTCCTTCTAGACCTGTCTTTTCCTTGTGGGCACTGGCACAGCAGGAGTCATGACTCCCTCTTTGTCTTTAGCCCACAGGGCTGGGGGAGAGATAAATATCATCATGGATAAGACAAACAGCCTGCTCCTGTTCACGTTCCCACTTCAGCACGTGGAGATGTGAGGAGGAATGTAGAGGCTTCATGAGACCTGTGGTGATTTTAACTGAGAATCACTAGCTAACCAAAAGTGACACCCTAATGTGTGAGCAGTTTACCAATCCATCACCAAGAGGTTAACTATGAAATTTGGAGGTCAAGTTCAGTGAAACTATAGAATCCTTCTCAACCAGGAGAGATTGCGCTCCAGGGGACTTTTGGTTGGGGAGGGGTGTAGAGGACCTGCTGCCTCTTGTGGGTAGAGACCGAAGAGGCTGCCAAACAGCTGAAAATACAGAGAGGCCCCTGCACATTAACTAATCATCCGGCTCAAAATGTCAAAATTGCCCCTGTTGGAAAACCCTGCTGTGGACTCTGAGGCACAGACATAGTGGAATGGGAGGAAGGAACTGTATTAACTACTTATACATTGTAACTGTCTTTGGATTTATTGATATGAAAAAATTTAAAGTGAGAAAGGTCACTCCAAATCAACTAGTAGACAGAGGGGGTTTTTATTGGTGAGTAGAAGAATTAATTGCTTCAATTATAATTGCTAAATATTGCTATAGAGTTACTTGTTGCTGTGAACTTATTGTCTCAGACTCTGCAGGACCCTTCCCCCCAAACACCACTCACTGACATCCACAGTGAAGATATTTGTTTTGCCTATTTTTTCCTTGAACTTCTCTTTGTCATGCCTCACAAACCTTTGTGAAACTTTTGATTTCTCTCTTTTAAATTGCACTAGAAGAAATGATTGCTGTTATGTTTCTGTTACTCATAATTTATCATTTATCTTTTCTCCTTTTTATCCTTAATATATATCTTTTAATTTCCAATACCCTAGTGAAACTAGCTAAAATCTCTATGAATATTTTCTTCCAAATAAGGTAAAGGTCTATGATGTAGTTTGTGCAGAAAAGAAGTTGCTTTGGTGGATGCTAAGAGAAGTCTATAGAGAATTGGTAACACATGGATGTAGGAAGAACTAGGTTTGTCCTTTAAAATAAAAGTAAACAGTCTAAAGTAGCATAGAAACAGGGTTTAGATAGAGAGGCAGTTAGACCTGAGACAACGTAACACTTCCTAGTAGGAGAGGCATTTACAGATGAATAAGAGCTGCAGAGGGTAAACACACATGGAGTATCTTTCTCCTTCCCCCTCTAATCCACTTCACATGGGAAGCCGGGAAAATAAATAACTGAGGCAGAGGAAACACAAGCTGAACGAGAGTACTGCAACGAATCTATCTGCTGCCCAACTCAGCCTGAGCCTCACAGAAACCTTTGTACATTTTGAGGCAAAATTAATATTAAGAGAACATTACAAAGAGTTCCATTTGAGTTTGTGTTAAGTAATATTGGAAGAATTAAATGTTAATTATGTTAACCTCTGTTATAAAGACAAATTATAGTAAACGTTTCTTTTTAAGCCATTTACATGAACTTAAAAGGTCATGATGTTTTCTTCCAAGCCTTTTTTTATTTTTTTTTCTGCCTCAGGAAAACTTTCAGAAAAGAGGGCCTAAAATGCAGGAGAAAAAATAAGAAATTAACTTTTATTGCTTAGCCTAATATGTTCTAGGCACTGAGCTTCACGTTTTCTCTGCAGTTATTTAACCAGTGTCCTCTAGCGGCAAAGCCAGCCTCCTTGTCTCTGCATTGGAGAAAGAGTTCCAGGCTGGGGAGAAGAAACTTTATTCTTCTGGTTTTCTCGCTCTCCCTGGCAGCATGGTTTCTGCAATAGCCAGTTTGTCCCAGTTTATTTTCTTTTCTTTTTCTGGGATCTCCAAACAGCCTTATGGTGCTTGGTCGGAGGTACCAGCTGGCCAGTGCTTCCCACTCAGAGGGCTGGTACCCCCTCCACACTTCTTGATGCTAATACTCAAACCCTTTTCTCTCCGATCTCCTGTTCCTAGAGATCATGGCAATTAGGATTTCTACCTTATGTATTTCATCTTCACTTGCTCAGTTCTCTAACACCTTTTAAAACAATTCATAACATGCACTTCTTTGTTAAAATGACTGACATGTTTCCGATTTTCTGATTAGCCTCTGAAAATACCACTACTTATACACATTGTACCCATTGTATAAATGAGTAAACTGAGGCTCAGATGGGTTCAGTAACTTGCCCAAGGTTTCCTAGCTAGCAGGAGGCATAAGTAGAATGTAGACACAGTTCTATAAGTCCAGTCTTTGCTAATATTCCAGGACATAGGACGAAAATACAAAAGATGTGTCAAATTTTTAAAAAACCTAAAACACCAATCAGAAAGAATATGTGTACCCTTATGTTCATAGCAGCACTATTTACAATTGCTAAGATCTGGAAACAGCCCAAGTGCCCATCAGCAGATGAATGGATAAAAAAGCTGTGGTACATGTACGTAATGGAATACTATGCAGCTATAAGAAAGAAAGATTTCTTATCCTTTGAGATGACATGGAGGGACCTGGAGAGTATTATGCTAACTGAAATAAGCCTATCAGAGAAAGACAAATACCACATGATCTCACTTATTTGTGGAATACAATAAACAAAATAAGCTGACGAATAAAATAGACCCAGAGACACAGAAAGGAGTATAGTTCAGACTCACAGAACTCAGAGAAGGGGGGTTGGGGGGATAAATGAGATAAACCAAAGAACTTATACGCATGTTTGCTTAACCAATGGACATAGACAACAGTGCTGGGGCGGGGTGGGCAGCGGGATGGGGAGGAGGGTGTCTATGGGAGAAAAAGGGGAAACATTTGTAACAAATATAAATTAATAAAAATAGAAAAAAGAAGTAAAAATAAATTAAAGAATAATTTTAGAGAATAATTTAAGAATAAAGTTATTATCTATTTATAGATAATCAGAATCCTTATACCTTTATATATATTTTCAATATGAGGATTCTTTATATATACACATGTTTATATGCTATATGCATTTTGTAGTCTTCCTTCCAAATCTCCACTACTGTGAAAAAAAAAAAAAGATTATTAAAAAAAAGAGACATAAATCTAAAAAGGGGTAATAATAGCCCACTGAAAATACTATGAAAAATGCAGAAGTTAGAAAGCAGGTGAACATGTGGGAGGAGATTACACAGAACAGGGAAATAAATAACCTAAGACTGCTTTGGGAAGGCCATAAAGCAGACTAGTTCCTGCCTCAGAACATCAGAGAAATTAAAAAAACTGGAGGTACCAGGTTTCTGAAAGATGGTTCTGAAACAGCAGGATTGTTGAAGTTCTTTGACGTCCGGAGACCTTTCCCCACAAATTACAGCCCAGTGTTTCCATTTTTCTACAACCAAACAGAAAGATTATGTCTTAAAAGGGCAGCCAGGGTTTGGTAAGGCCAATCTCGGGGCCTTTAGGAGAGAGTAGTGTGGATGGAAGGGTGGTGAAAATTGAAACCTGCATGGTTAGAAGTGAGTGAATAGTTGACGGAGAAAAATTTTGAAAGGGATGGGATTCAGAGAGAAGAGGCTGCGGGCATAAGTAGAATGTGGGAGGAGAGATGTTTTTTCACATGTGAAGAAAGAAAGTATTGATGAAGGTATTTGGACAGGTACATTGGGAGACACTATTTCTGAGAACTTGCATATTGGGGAGACGAGGAATCAAAATAGGAGGATCCCCCCACCTCACATTCCTACTATATATTATTATTATTATCTTAAATAACAAATGATACTTTAGATTCACATAACACAGGTCAAAACTTGTGGTCCATGTGTCAAATTTAAATAAAAAGTGGGAGTTTTTTTTTTAGTTGTTTGCCCACATTTTGAAATTTTGCAATTTCTATTTGAAAAATAACATTTGAGGTGTTCTTAAAAGACTGGATGATCCTACAATACTGGACATAATGCAGAGTACAGCTGAGTGGTGGGAACTTTCTTAGGGTAGTAGGTTTTCCGTAGCCCTTGTCATTAATTTATGTTACCCTCCTGACCTGGTAGTCATTTGAGTTTGCATCTCTGATAAAGTACCTGTCTCTTGAGTATCACCAAGTCACCTATGCAAAATTAAAGTGTGGTTATTATCTATATTTTTCAGAAAAAGAGTGTAAGGTATCACAGGAAACCACCCCACTACCTTTACCTGTAGGTTGAGAAAATCAGGAAAGTGAACAGGCATTTTAAAAATGACTCCTGATTAGAAAACCAATAAGTGCCAAATCCATTCTCGTAAACTCATCTGACTAAGTAAAACCACTGTCTCAAGAGTCTTCTCTGGTATATGTTAACGATCGACGCATTCCAAGATGACTGGCCCATCCAGCTTTGTTTATAAACAGTAATTTATCAAATTCCACCTTCTGACGTATGGTTTGATTTGGCACAGATTGACTATGAAATACAATTTCAAGCAGGTCCCGTACTTTTTTTATTTGAATAATAATTACTATAGGAGTAACACTTCATGTACATTCTGTTTTTACGAATTAATTCTTGTATGTAGCTCATTAAAAATTTTGGATCTCACTAAAAATTTGTGATTCATTTTTATCTAACTGTCCAATGAATATCAATACTCTAAGAATCATTGATGAAGTATGCTGTATGATCACAAGAGTCAATTAGGAAAAGTCTAGCTGTATTCTTGAAAATGCTTAATTGGTGAAATCACTTCCCTCAAATATGACTAAAAGCCAACTATTAATTGAGGACTAAGATATCAATCACTATTACAGAGCCTGTACCAGGATAACACCCCTTTCCAAGAGATAGCTTCCAGTTAATTAGAACTTTTCCCTAACATGTAGCTATCATGATCTATTTTATGCAATGAATTTCTGGCATATGGGACTCAATTTTGGGGAGGTCGTTTTCTTTTCTACGGAAATGTCTTCAGGCCTAGGAGGAAGTTCATAAGGTTTGGTATGCTTGTGTAGTTTCTCTTCTCTTTTCTTCATAATCTCCTTGAAGTGCTTTTTTTCCTCTAACTCTTTGTCTGCACGTTCTTCGGCCTCAAATATTGCATCTTTTTTCTGTCGGTTCTTTTGCTCTTTCTGCCACTGTTTCAGAGAAAAGGTGTCATTTACATATAATTTTGCATGAAAAAATAATTTTAACTTCTCAAAATGCAAATTCTTATGTTCAATTATCCTCTTAGTTTTTCTCGCCGACATTCTTCAGGAACTTATACTCTACCACACTGAAAAAATATATAAGCTATCTATCTATCCGAAAGTGTACCATTCCCACAGAACAAACAAACAAAATTCCGTCTTAACATTTTTAACCATAATAGATCATTCAAAAGAAGAGATCATAGGGTTATGTTTCTATATACTAAATGAATATCCTTTCTTCATCAGTATTGGTACTTTACGAGAGTATGGAATCATAAAATAAAAAATTAAGCCAAAGCAAAACAAAAAGAAAAACCAAATTCAAGTGAAAGGCAGAAATTGTGATACTAAGTTAAGAAAATGAAATTAATCAGATGATAAATGCTGATTTTACAGCAGACTATTAAAAATAACTAAGAGATTCATTGCAATTGAGGATGTTAATTCATAACAGCATATCAAGGTCAAGGTTCCTAGAAATAAGATGTTGGAAGTAACAGTGGCCTTGCAACCAAGCATCATCAGAAGGACATTTCCACTCCCCTCTAATATCTTTCATGAAAGAAAGGGTGAAAAGAGGAGGAAAACACTCTTTAGACTGGGTGAACAGTACAAGGTAGAAAGACCCCCTAACATGAAATGTTGAAAATTTCTGTAAATACTAATTGCATTGCTTGTTTTGTCATTTCCTGTTCATGCATATATACAAGCAACCAGACTGGGCTTAATTACCTACCAATTAACTTAAAAATTACTATATACTAGTGCTGTGAATTATAACTGATATGAATAAGTAGGACCACACCACAGAATCCATAACACATCACTCAGCCTTCCAAAGGTAATGGAATTTTTTAAAATGTCAATATACTCAGAGTAAATATTTTTTAAAGCATAATAAAATCATATCTAACTTTTGAATTAAAATTAAAATGTAAAGACATAAGAAATCCAAAGATTACATGAACTTATCTTGAGGCTGTTTCTACACACCATTATTACTCATATAATTTCATTTCTCAGAAACCACTTTTGTATGAAATACCCAGAAAATTGAGGCAAAATATCCTGAACATTCAAGCACAGGCTGAAATCCATGGTTTGGTTTAGTCTACACATTCTGTAATATTTCTGTGTCATAATTTTTTTCTCATATAATAAACTAAATAGTAATATTGTTTCACAAAACTACCATTTTTATGTTATAGCACAAAAGTAGTAGTTGGTGAAATGAGACAGTATCTATAAGCAAAGATAATTAAGCTGTTTATAGGAGAGATGTCAATGTACCTCATGACCTTGATCTTTACATTGTGAAAAATTGACAGAGGATTAATTTTAAAGAACTCTCAGTAAAATAGAATGCTTGGGTTTCCCAAACAGCATGTATAAAAACAAGAATGTAGAATATCACTAATGTCTAGGAGGCTGGTCTTCCTCTTTTGCCTCCTTGTTAGACTTGCCAAGTCTGGACTTCAGCATAACATTATAATCTTTCATTTCGTTAGCCCAGAAAAAAGTACACTTTTCTTTCACATCTTTGTCTCTGTTGACCTTGACAAATTCTCTTTGGATAAACCATTGTCTTGTCTGTTCTTTTACCTGCCAATATTATCATTGATGTGGCAGCTAGGAGGAGGCAGGTTTGCTTCAAACTGATGAGAATAGAAGCACCATTTACTGCTTTTTTTCAAACAGTTCACTCAGGGATTCAGTCGTCATGCTATAGAATACCAGTAGTATCTTATGTCTGCTGAACAATTAGGTGTCTGCCCTATTCCATGCTTACTACGGCCACTCAGTAAAATTCACGGACTTGGCAGGACAATTAAACCTGTAGCTGTATTTTTGTTTCTCATCAATCCTACAGATTCCACCTACCCATCCCCATTTCCATTCAGGTTAGGGTTTATTATAAGCCAGGAAATTGAGCAATGAAGGAAAATTGAAAAGAAAAGTAGATCTGGAGTCCAAAGATTTGGATCTGTGTGCACACCCAGTCATTTCCTAGCTTTAAAACCTTGGGCAAATAACTGAAATGTGCACTACCGTTCTTGTTGGTAAATATTTCATGGGGTTGTTGTGAGGATTAAAGTAAATAATGTAAGGGCATTTTGTAAAGTGTAAAATATTACACACAAAGCATTACTGCTATAGTTATCTGAAAGGAAATGGCATATGCATAAATACTTTGTTAAATGTGCTATTCCAAGAAGTTTCCATTAAACCTTCCCAAATCCAGACTCTGTAGTTTGTACTACTATTTGATTAGGCTAGCCACATATCAAACAATTTGGATCCTATCAATTATCCAACTTATTTTCAAAAAGGATTCTTTTACCCTTCTATAGCTACACTCGAAACAGATTCATGATGGTGGTTACTTACATAACGCTTATACCTTTGAAAGAGGAAAAAAATGATAGTTTTTAGGATCCACTTCCTAGCCTTCTCTTTCTAGTCTTCTCTCTATCATTCAGAATAATTTTCTCTGTCTCTTCAACTAGCCCTAGGCAAATGACCTTAATCACAAACTGATTAAAGTCTTTCTAATCTTTCAAGGGTAAAGAACAGACCCTGAAAACTGAGTCAAAATATTTTTTTCTGTTATTAAAAATACACATTATATATGTGTACATACATATTGACAATTTGCTATGTCTTGTAATATATTCTAGATAATTCAGTTGAGTGACTGGTTATATATAGATGCTGTAATTTATGAACAATTAGGAATTTTTTATCATACCCTGTACATGTGATATATTGGTTTAGCAAAACCTTCATTATAGAATAAAAGTACAATACTACAGCTCTCATTTTGTGTTTCCAGGGTATCATTCTGTTTCCAAATCTTAATACTAGTAACTAATGCTACAGTAGTTTAAATATTAGCTATATGATAAATTAAAATTCAGTGGGATCAGTAAATGAAATAATCCCTTATTATTTCTCAAAAGATCATTAATTAAATAGAGTACAAAAATAATCATGGGGGAGAAATCTAAAGATTTCACACAAAAAAACTACTAGAATTGATAAATGAATTCAATAAAGTAATAAGATATAAAATAAATATCCAGAAATTAGTTGCATTTTTAAACACCAATAATGAACTATCAGAAAGGGAAACTAAGAAAACAATCCCATTTACAACTGCATAAAAAAAAATTCATAGGAATAAATTTAACCAAGGATGTAAAAGACCTGTACTCAGAAAATTATGACATTGAAGAATGAAATTGAAGAAGATACAAATAAGTGGAAGCATATCTTGTGTCCATGGATAGGAAGAATTAACATCATTAAAATGTCCATACTACCCAAAACAATCTATAGATTCAATACAATTCTTATCAAAATATCAATGACATATTTCACAGAACTAGAACAAATATTTCAAAACTTTATATAGAACCACAAAAGACTGAATAGCCACAGAAATCTTAAGAAAAAAAGAACAAAGTTGAAGGAATCGTGCTACCTGTTAGGAAACTATACTATAAGGCCATAGTAATCAAAACAGCATGGTACTGGCATAAAAACAGACATATAGATCAGTGGAACAGAAAAGAAAGCTGAGAAATAAACCATGCCTTTATGGTCAATTACTATTTGACACAGGAGGCAAGAACATACAGTGTGGTAAAGATAGACTATTCAACAAATGGTGTAAACCCTACTCCTAGAAAGAAGCAGTCATAAAATGATTTGGCAAGAAATCATCAACTAAGTATAGCTCAGTGGATTAAAGTATCTTAAGTGACTAGGCTTGTATTGTCACAGCTTGTTGAATTTATGCCATGAACAAAATGATTAAAGTCTTCCTAATATTTCAAGGGTAGAATAGTCACTGAAAATTGAGTAAAAAGATTTTTGTTCCATTATTAAAACTACACTAGAGAAGAAACCAGTGTTCAGTGTTTAATATCAGATTCTTGTTTAAAAAAAAAAAACAGTATGAATTCAGGAAACAGGGTAAGACTAATATTTTAAAATAACAGGGGCTAAATTTTCTGTAGCTTGATGAAGGAACTGATATGTATAGATAGTACAGTAAGACAAAATTAAGTTTAGCAATGCTCAATCGTTGCTCTACTTTTAAATACCACATGTTAATATTAAAGTCTCAGAACTACATATTCTAATTCAAAATACCATTAAAGAAACAAAGCTTCACGTTGATTTAAGAAAGTCAGTCTTACATGATGGTTAATGATTCTTGCCAATTCTTCATCTGCCTTGGTGAGGAAATCTGGATATGGAAACATGAGGAGTTCTGCAACAGAAGGATGTTCCCTTCAAAAGAGCATAAGAACAGATCCAATATTAGGTATAGCTATTCCTCCACCCAGGAATATGTAGCTTTGAAGTCATATCCATTATTAAGCATTTTGATTCTACATTATTAAACATCAACTACTACTCTGAATAGACTACTATATATATTAGATTTTAGTTTTGGAAAGCCATTTGGAGTTATTAAAACTGACATTTTGGAGAGTAGTGCATGACATACAGATTAATAAGAAGAAAATAAAAAGAGGGCAATCTTCTCCTAGGAGATGTCAATACTATAGCTGGTCAGTAGCAAACGAGATATAAGGATATGAAGGGCGTAAAGAAGGTTGAAGTCAACTGTGCTCAATGGGAAGATAAAAGTGTACATTGCCACACATAACCCCATGACCTTGGAAATTGTGGTGTAAGTCTAAGCCTAAGAATTGTATCTAAGATAAACTAAATAAACAAAAAACAGAAAAGTGATGTGACTTCAATATTACTCCTGGCTCCTTGTATTACTAAGATTAGAACTGGAGCAGTCAGCTTAGCAACAGCTCAGTGAAAGTGTTGGCAGCGAGAAGTGGGCACTAAACTATGGGAGATTTCATGTTAAACTGTTCACATAATAATTATTAAAGTTATTATGAAGTAATTATTGTGAGTCTAGAAATAGGTAAAGCAACAAAATAGTGGTAGAGGATATGGTTTTGAAAGAGAGAAAGCAGGTTTAAAGGAAAAACTCTTTGGTTGGTGGAAAATTTCCAAATTCAAAAAAGTCTGATAAATTTTTCAAGTTGCTGTTTAGATAGAACTCTATATTTTTGATACCCTGAGCTTCCTTCATATCACCAGGTCCTCATGCTTTATGCTGTACTAAATGCTTCTCAAATCTTTCCTTTATCTTCATCTGAATCATCATTTCCCTAATTTAAACCATCATTTCTTACCTGGACTTAGGCCTCTTTATTGGAATCTCTGCATCCACCATGAAAACCCGCTCCTTCCCCTCTATCTCTGCTACAGGGCTGGTTAAAGTGTACTTATCCTTCTATTCTCAGTTCAAGCCCACTACCATAGCTCTCAATCCACCATGACCATTTTCTTAATCATATTTATCTCAGTTGTAACTTTACATTTATCTGTGTGCCTGTGTGAATTTTATGTTTCCTGGTTAGAACATAAATTACATGATAAGTAATATTATTGTCTTGTCAGTGCCCAAAATAGTAACATTAGACATTCAATGAATGATTTTTGTATGTTTAGTGAACTATGGAATAAAATAATGAAAGGTCATCAGGAAGAGTCTACTACAAAACACTTATGTCAGTAGAGCAATGTCCAGTATAGCAAGAGAATAAAAATCTTAGGAGTCAAGTCACAGAGTAAAGGTAATAGCAGTTCAATTCAAGAAGCTGGTGACCAAAGAAAATATACTGAGACCTCTCTCAGCTCATAAGATTCAGAAATATTGTGGGGCAGAAGAGCAATGAGCTTCCCACTGCATGTAGAATAGGGACTCTAGCCATTCCATTAAGATATTAAAGGAAAATATGATTCTAGAATGCTGGGGAATTCTGGGACATCTGGGCCCAACACAGATTAACTATATTTATTTAACAAAATTTGAATGCTTCTGATATTCAAAGAATGTGCTAAATGCTGTGAAAAAGGAATAAGACAGAATATTAAAATATTTAATGATTAACAGTATTTAAGCAACTTGCCTCAAATTTATTCTTGAATTATAAAAGTTTAAATTAAAGAGATTCATAACATTATATTAGAAAACCTCTAAAAATCAAAGATTAGATGGGTATGCTTGTGCATCTGTGATTTCCAGTTATTTTACTTGTATAGTTTGTACTAGAAACAAAAGATTCTAAGTAACTATAACACAAGATAACCTGAAGCATAAAAAAGATAGTCAATGATATAAACCAAAAAATATAGTAAAATGGTTAAGCATATGGTCTCTGTACTCAGCTCTTGAAGCAAATTTTAGTTCTGCTACCTAGTATTATTTAATCCCTCTGTTCCTCCGTGTTTTTCATTTTTAATATAAAAATAGTAACAGCTTAGTTTTATTTTTATAAATATTAAAAGAAATAAAACATAAAGCATGTTTGATGAAACAAATATTGAATAAGTTTTAGCTGTATTATTCTTATCACCATCATTATCAAAAGAATTCAGAGGGAGAAGCCATGGCAAAACAGAGACAATACAAGTTCTTCTTTAAGGTCTTCTGACCTGGATGCGGTTTATTTCTTTTTCTTTTCTAATTGCTTTGGCTAGGACTTCCTGTACTATAATGAATACAAGTGGCAACAACAGACAAATTTGTCTTGTTTGTAATATTAGAGAAAAAGCCTACCAACATTTTACCATTGAGTATGTTAACTGTGGGTTTGTCACTTATAACTTGAATTAGGTTGAGGTACATTTCTATGATAGCCAATCTGTCAAAATTTTTATGATGAAAGAATAAAAATTTAAATTCTGTCAAACGCTTTTTCTGTATCTATTGAGATGATCACATAATATTTAATTTTTATTCTATTAATGTGGTGTATCACATTTATTGATTTATGTATATTGATCCAACTTTGTATCTCAAGGAGAAATCCCACTTAATCATGCTGTATAATCCTGTTGAATTTGTTTTGTAGTAGTTTGTTGAGAATTTTTCATCTATGTTCACCAGGGTAATTGGCCTATACTTTTCTTGTAGTATATTTGTCTGGGTTTGGTATCAGGAGAATGCTGGCATTATAAAATTAGTTTGGAGTGTTTGCTCTTGTTTTACTTTTTTGAACAGTTTCAGAAGTACAGGCATTCATTCTTTAAATGTCTGATAGAATTAACCAGTGAAGTTATTTGATCCTGGCATTATCTTTATTGGGTGATTTTTGATAACTGATTCAATATATTTACTTGTTGTTGGCTTGTTCAGATATTCTGTTTCTTCATGATTCAGTCTTTGTAGGTTGTATGGTTCTAGGAATTTATTCATCCTTCTACTTTATTCAGTCTTTTGGCATATAATATTCATAGCGGTCTCTTATGATCCTTTGTATTTTTGTGGTATCTGTTATACTGTCCTTTTTTAAAAAATTTTAATTTAGTCTTCTCTTTATCTTGGAACATCTAGCTAAAGGTCTGTCAAATGTGTTTATCTTTTCAAAAACTCAACTCTTAGTTTTATTGATCTTTTCTTGTTTTCTAGTCTATTTCATTTATTTGTGCTCTAATCTTTGTAATTTCCTTCCTTCTGCTAATTTTAGGCTTATTTAGTTTTATTCTTTATAGATCCTTGAGGTATAATGTTTGGTTATTTGAGTTGATTTTTTTTTTCATAATGTAGGCATTTATCACTCTAAACTTTCCTCTTAAAACTGCTTTTGCTGTGTCCCATAAGTTTTGTTATGTTGTTTCAATTTTCATTTATTCCAAGATAGTTTTTTATATTCTTGGTTTTTCAGGGGAATGTTGTTTAATTTCCACATATTTGTGATTCTCCAGTTTTTCTCCTTTTACCAATTTCTAATTTTATAACACTGTGGTTAGAAAAGATATTTGATATTATCTCAATGCTTTTAAATTTTCTTAGACTTGTTTTGTGACCTAACATATGATCTATCCTGCAGAATGTTCGATGTGCACTTAAGAACAATGTATGCTCTGCTGCTTTGGGGTAGAGTGTTATATTAGGTCAATTTGCTCTGAAGATAATTCAAGTCCAATGCTTCCTTTTTATTTTTCTGTCTAGATGATCTATCCATTATTGAAAGTGGGGTATTGATGTCCTCTACTATTATTGTAATGTTACGTGTTTCTCCCTTTAGATTTGTTACTATTTGCTTAATATAGTTTGGTGCTCCAATGTTTGGTGCATTTACATTTACAATTGTTATTTCCTCTTGATGACTTGACTCCTTTGTCATTATACAATGACCTTCATCTCTTGATAGTTTTTGTGTTGAAGTCTATTTTGTCCAAGATAAGTATAACTATTCTTGTTCTCTGTTTCCACTTGCATGAAATATCTTTTTTCATCCCTTTACTTTGAGTCTCCGTGTGTCCTTAGAACTGAAGTGAGTTTCTTCTAGGCAGCAAGTCTCTTGAGTCTTGTTTTTTATGCATTCAGCCACTCTATAGCTTTTTACTGGGGAATTTAGTCTATTTACATTTAAAGTAATTATTGATGGGTAAGTGCATACTAATGCCATCTGATTAGTTGTTTTCTGGCTGTTTTGTCATTCTTTTGTTCCTTTCTTCCTTTGTGAACAGATGACTTTCCATATTGGTATGCTTTGACTCAATTTATCTTTTGTGTGCATATTCTAGGTTTTTGCTCTGGTTACTATGAGGCTTATATAAAATATCTTATTGATATAATAGTCTATTTTAATTTGATAACAACATCAGTCATAAACAAAATTAGATGTTACGTTTACCATTCAGTTATACTTCAGTACCATTTTTCCTAATTCCATTTCAATCCAGTATTCTTAGGAACCATGGGTCTTTCTGGAAACTGAAAGTTTTCAAATTCTCAGAGACATATTTAACCATAACTTTCATACTCAAAACCCCACTTGTAAGACTTAACCTTTTATTCATCTTTAAAGTAGGAGGTTAAAAATAAATGACTTTCTGGACACATAACTGACAGATTTTTAATTTCAATTAATGTTGATTTTCTGTTTTGTAAAAGTGATTCGTTCAAGCAGTAAATCATGCATGTCTTTTCTTTGAACACTGTTTTTGTTTTCTTTTACCTTAACTGCCTTGCCTAAGACTCAGAGCCTCAAGATTATAAATTCCTATAAGAGACAAGATTTAAACTATAGCTATTTACAAGAAAGTTATCCAAAGTTTAAAAATCTAACAACAAATAAATCTTCTTGGGTACTTCTTAAGGGTAGGTTAGTAAAGTAATAGCTTGCTCTCAACTGGACTATTACTATTACCATTACTTGATCTCACATTAAGATACATGGTACCTATTT